GACGTAGACTTTAAAATTTGAAAAAGAGTGATGTTTCGTGTTCAGTAGATCGTGTATCTGCGGGATGAAGGAAGTACTTTTGACATAACGCCGATAATTTTTGTTACCATTTTATTTTTGTTGTTATAATGTTCTCTCAGACCAGAAATGTTCGCGACAGCATGCATGCTGAATTTAATTGTACTTTTGCTGTAGGTAAGTATTTTGAATCGAGGGAAGATCTTAAGACTGCGATTAGTACCTTTGGAAAAAAGTATAACGTAGGTTTTTCAATCAAAGACTCTCATCGTCGACTTGGTCAGTTTATTTACAACTGTAAACATGGTGGTTTCAAGCGTGAACTTGGAAAGAAGAATGACTCGATTATTGATGATGAAGAGGTTGATGAAACCATTGACCTTACTTCTAAAGATTCAACTGTGCCTGAAAAAAAAAACAGTTTACAAAAAAAGCACTCAAAAGTTTCTTTGTCCTGCTTCGATTTCATTATTTGGATTCACTGTCACTAAAAATCATATGCACCATAACCACCCAATTTCACAGGATGTTACAACTTATGCTATTCATCGTAAGCAGAGTCCAGAAATTATGGAAAGAATCTACTCAATTTTGTCCAGTGGACACAAAGGTACTGTCACCAGCGTTATGGATGTAACTATTTTTTTAACAGCACAGAATATCTCATGTACTCATTACATATACGTTATTAGACCCTGAAAGCATTGAATGTCAAAAACATAATCAAAAAAGACATCCAGAACATCCAGTCTTTGTATTTGAATGATAATGGAGGAAAAGAGATGTATCATCTTATCACTGAATTAGAAAATCTCGGGTACGTCATTCGTATCCAGGTGAAAGGTGATCAGGAAGTCAGGAGCCTTTTTTTTATTCACGAAAAGGCTATAAAGGAAGCCAGACTATGGTCAGAAGCTATAACAATTGACGCTACGTATAAGACAAACGCTCACAAAATGTCACTCGTTAACATTGTCGGAACCAGCAACTCCTCCTCTATTAAAGGAAGTAACCGTTTGCAGACATTCGCTATTGCTGCCGCATTTGTCAACAATGAGACGGAAAATACGTATCGGTGGATTTTGGAAGAATTGAGGGATGCTGTTTGGCCAACCGAAAGCAGATACAAGTTACCTTCGGTCATCGTTACTGACAACGAGCAAGCTTTGCGAAATGCAATCGAAAACGTTTTTCCCGAGAGTCAGTACTTGTTATGTTCGTGGCATCTCTGGAACACCATGTTGACAAAACTTGCGATTGGTAAAGTTGCTTCTGCCGAATACAATTTACGTATCACCGAAGCAGAAATCGAGTTTAAGTCAATGATGAGTAGCTGGAATATGTCATCATTCAGAAAAGCATGTGACAATTTCGAAAAAATGATCACTACTGTAGGATATTTCAAAGAAAACGGTCAGATGGCTTTGTCGTATCTGAAGGATGTGTAAGTATTTATGATAACATTCCTTGTTTGCTTATGGCTAATGACTGATTTTACAAAAAGTTTAATGAAAGAAAACGAGATGAAACGCTGGGCTGGATTATACGCCAATAACCATGCCCACATGGGAAACCGTACATCTGGAAAAGCAGAGAGTTTCCATTCGGGACTTAAGAGAGCTCTGGAAAGTCAATCCGCCTCCAGAATGACGCTTACAACCAAACGAACGCATGCGTACTATGAAAAAAAGGTTTGTCCATTTAAGATTTGTTTAAGTTGAAAATTTGTAAAATAATCACACCAATCTTTTTTAAAATGTAGAGAGATGATAGATACAGAAGATTAGCAATTGAAAGAATCAGTATCGATTCTGTTTCATTCGACGAAAGCCGAGAATATCGATTTAAAGCCCTCGCTTTTAATGTTGTCCGCTTTGCTATGGATACGATTAGAGAAAACGTTGTTGTATCCTTGCAAGATAATTTCGTCTCGAAAGAAAAAGACTGCATTGCTGGGATCGTGTAAGGTATAGTCTTCCGTGTCCATGCGTTATCAGCATTCATCCTGGAGTCTTGCCTCTTTCAATTGTAGATAATCGTTGGAGATTTGAGCGCGATGAAGGTAATTGTTTACATAAAAATATTGGCCGAATGCGCTTAATGATTTTTGGTTTCTAGATTATGAAGAGGTTAGAGAATGTGGTGACGGGAGCCGTGACAGCAATCAAAATGTGACCAAAGAGAAGCCTGGTAAGTTTTTTTTTCTTTCATTTTTGCTATAAAATTATAAATGTGAGGCATTTAGTATGGGACGTTATATGTTATGCATGTTTCTGTTTATCGCTGTCTCAGTGAATATTTTAAATAAAACAAAGTCCTTCATCAATTGTGATATATTGAACTGGTATCTACGCTATTGTTTTTGTTACCCTGCTTAAATGTATGTGATAATTATAACTGTCAATCTGTGCCTTTTAATGTTTCGTGCTTTGTATTCAAAGAAGGATGGAATATCATATCATAAAATTACGTTGAAGGCCGAAAATAAGTAACTAATGAAGTCATAAATACAATCTTTAAACCATAGACGAAGTGGGAACTGAAAACAAAGTCAAGGGTGAAGTTCCATTTGAGAAAACAGCAAGAGCAATATATGATATAGACGGTGAAGGTGAGTCGTACATATCAAGCACATCATTTTATTAGAACTTAACATGTAAGAAAATAGACGACGAAATTGTAGTAGATACTGCTACCCGCGTTCAAGAAGGTACGTTGTGTATAAATTAAAATTTAGCAAACGTAAATTCTTATTTTTTGACGTATAAGTTATTGATGACGAAGAAAGAAACTTCAACGAGTATCTTGTTGAAAGTGGTAATGACAATAAAAACGAAGCACGCAGAGGAAACCCTATGCCTTCGTCAACTAAAGGTATTTATTATTACAGCTACTAATAAGAAAAAATCCGAAGCTAATGTTTATTTTTGTAGAACATACAGAAGACGAGCCAAAGAACAACAGAGAACGAATGATGCTCCGTGTTGAGAAACTGTTGCATGGTATGTTTACCAAAATAAACTCGCTGGGAACACAGCAAGAAATCAGCGATGCCATCAAAGTGTTGGAAAAGGCTGATTTGGATATAAAAGAACCAGAAATCAAAATGGATGAGCTGCAACCGCCTTCCGTAAATACAAACAGAAAGGGGCGTAAGTCAAAGCGTGGTGTCAATAGTAACACTGAAAGGCTCAAGATTGCATCAGAGTTGTTTGAAGAGCATCAAAACAAAGAGATAAAAAAGAAAGAACAGAAAAAAAAGAAAATGAAGAATTTGAGAGAAAGAGAAAAGAACTGTTCCTTGAAGAAAAAGAAATTGATCTTCAACAAAAAAATAGAAAACTTACTATGTTTGTTCGCGAAGATCCCTCCTCTTCTGGTAGCGATATTAAAACTGAAAAATCAGTATCGCATTATGATCGGTAAAGAGTTGCATATTCCTATTAACACAATACAATTTATTTTGACTTAAATCTACTTATTTATATATTATTTAGTGTTATCACCTACCGCAACTCTAAAAAGGATGTGGCCTTTGATTGGATTCATATCAGCCCCAAAAATGTAATTGCTGCGATTCATAACGTTGGAGCTGACGGAAATTGTGGTTTTAGAGCTGTAGCTCTTGAGGTATATAATGACCAAAGTCAATGGTTAAAGGTCAAACATCAAATGTTACAGACGTATATTCAGTATCATGATACTTTATATAAGCCTGTAGATGAAAAGTGTATTGAACTAGAAAAGATTAAGATGGTTAGACGACTTAATTCTTCTAAATCACATTGTCTCGAAGAAGAAGACCAACTTTTGTGGTTCAGCACATTCAGCTGTCCCCAAGTTGTGGCAGACACGTTTGAACGGCCTGTGATTCTTTTCGGCATGTTAAGTATCTCTTAAAAGATACAGGAGAGCCTAGGGTGAACCGTGAAGCACAAGTTTTCTTTCCTCTCGTAAATATGCCATTGAAAAACGTCGATATGCCAATCACTTTTCTATATTCGTCCTCGCATTTCTACGCAGTGGAATTCCATCGCACTCCCACTGGACGTTTGAAGAAGTTTGATAAACCTGTCATTGACATGGATCATGACCGTCTTAGACAATCATATCCTGATATCTGTAACAAGCAAGATTTTGTCATTCTTTTCTAAACTATAGTTTCCACAATTATCCTCACTTTCACAAACCAAAATAAACCTTATGCTCTTTGACATAACTTTTCTTACTTGCAATTTTGAGACTTACATTTTGTATTGTTTATTCCTATCTCTTAATTCTATCAGTCTTAAGTTCTTCAGACATAACTTTTAATGTTTTTCATGCTTTCTATAAAAAATACTTTAGTTACATTACATTATTTTTGAAGTTCTTATTAGAAGTCCTAATTATTGACGTGCTTAAGTTTAAAATGACTTTATTTCTCATAGGTTTTTGATACAGTTATTTTGTCTAAGCATCCTTATTTATTTTATTCGGGTCTCTTAGGGACAGCCAAATTTTCTTAGGGACAGCCATTTTTCTTAGGGACAGCCATTTTTCTTAGGGACAGCCAGGGTGTGCGTAGTCGTAATGTTGGGATTATGATACTTTTATAGACATCAAGAGGTCAATATAACTTAACAACTTGAAATATATACACATTTATTACAACCAACATATTTTAAACCAGTATATGTGTTTTACAGCTTACTTCAGCTTCTCGTTTGGACTTTACCTTAATATTTCTGCGTAAGATTAAGATCAAACGAGCTCAAAGGCGAAAGAGTGATGATAGAACTGTCAAAATAAGTATAAATCGTTTAATATTTACATTTATTCGTAATTGTTATATTGTTTCTGATTGTATATCCTTGTTCCCAGGTCTACAGAACATCCAAATCACAGATCTTACGTTGCGACTACGTGCACTTTGGCTGTCCCTAAGGAAAATTTGGCTGTCCCTAAGAAAAGCGTTGAATTTAAGAGATGAATTAGATACTTTATTGAGGCTTATATGTACAATATTTTCTTTTAGAGCTTCCGGGGCAGATATTGCTATGGCAAAGTGCACATGTTCTTGTTTTTTTTCGCTTAGGGTTTGATTCACACATTACAGTGGGTGGTGGTGTATTGGAATAAAGGAGTCGATGTTTTCGTGACGTCGTATGTGATGGGCTTAAAGGTAGATTCATAAGGTTTTGAGACATAGGGTTTTGAGACATAAGGTTTTGAGGCATAGGGTTATGAGGCATAGGGTTATGAGGCATAGGGTTTTGAGACATAAGGTTTTGAGACATAAGGTTTTGAGGCATAAGATTTTGAGGTAGGCGAGATGGAAACATGTTATTTAAGTGCATAGAATAGTTAAAATTGGGAGGCATATTGGAGTTTTGTGCATAGATGTATTGAGATGGCATAATTTTAGGAAGAGGTTTGGATGTCGACGAAGCGTTATCTTGTTGATGTATTTCTTTTGAGTTTTGAATATTTGGCATGATTGTTTGTCCTGGTAATAGGAGGAAACGATTAGCTTTTTCAAGTGGTCTTTTTTCGTATGATTCTTTAATCAAGGTAGAAGCAGAGTCAACTCTTTCTTTGTTTAAAATTACTGAGTTGAGATATCTGCTTTGATCCTCTCTTTGATTAAAGTAATGACGTAGATTTTCTGGTGTTTTGTAAAAAATGTTTTTTTTCTTGCCATCATTACACTGCTGAGACCATAAGATGGTAAAATCTTGCCATGTTTTTTTCAGAGAACACTTGATTTGCAAGCGAAGGATTATTTCTTCGTAATAACAGATACAACTCCATTTCTTCTTCAGTATGAACTGGAGTAACGGCTATCTTTGTTCCTTGCATATAAGAGAGATACAGATGTTGCAAACCACCAAAAACGGACTTGTTTCTGTTTGTAACTTGTACAGTTGGACTGACACATAGAACTAGCTTGCTTTTGACGGTCATACTTTCGAATTTCTGATAGCAGTTACCATTATCATAGTTTGTAGTTTTTACGTTGCATATGATATGTGTCAATAAGCTTTTCTGGCATACGACAAATACCGAACGTTTTTGAAGATTGTTGTGATCGATCTTATATACAGATATAACTCTATCATCAATTCTTTCTTTCTTATTTGATAACCTTTCTATAAATCATTATTGCATTACTCTTTAAATCAAATACATGCTATTACACTCTATTTACTACGCATTGATTACTCATCAACATATAGAAAACAATAGTCATACATTTATTCCAGATAATACAATCCAATGATATGATCGCTCGTCAATAACAAGATTCTCGAAGGTACCATGAGATGCTCGATCTTTAATTGACAATACGCCTATTGTATATTTGACAGGTTTCACTTTAATGATTGATATTCAGCCAGTCCTGAATATGTATATAAAGAACCCAATTTATTGTATAATAAAGACTTTAGTTTATTTTTGCAGTTTGATAATTTTACTTCGTCAAATTTCTTTATTTTTATTCTTAATTCGTAGCTTTATCTCTCGAATTTCTCAAAGATGCGGCAAAAAAGAGTGTATTTCCACTTGGATCACTATAGGAGGGCAATACATTTTGTTTCATTTCAGCCCTGAGAAAATTAATCGCTTGGTTGATCCAAGGCGAGAAATGGGTCTTGTGAATAACGCCGTATCTGTTTTTTGACCCAACCTAAATTAAAAATCAAGGTGACATTAGATGAAGTACTCATAAGTACTATTAATTATTTTTATAGCAGCTTACTGTTATGTTGTGACGGAGACGGTAATCTGCTAAGACACAGTCGGTAAGAGCGGGACTGGCATTGAAGGACGAGAATTTACGGATGATATTCTGGTGGACACCTCCTTCAACAGAATTCGTGCCTCTCACGCATCTGTACACCTGAAGACCATTTTGATCTTTGCTCATTCGATAGTACCAAGAGACACCAGGAGGATACGAGACATGCCCAAGTCGAATGGCTTCAAGTACCATGTTTGACACCTTCCAAGCCTTTTTGTCAAAAAGCTTGTTTCCAGAGACAGAACAAATGGCATTTCCATACACCTCAAAAAAAATTTTCACGACAGGGTATAGCTCGGATGGATTGGGGACATATCGTCTAACTCTCTTAGGCACCCAGTCGGAATTTTTCACCATCATTTTTTCTAAAGATATGTTTCTAGTTTTCAAGTATTCTGTCACAAGTCTTTCATCTTCCGGGACATTTACAAACAAGGCATCTCTAAACTTTCTTGAGAACTCTTTGGAAAATCCATGCGTTTTTTGAATCGGAATCATATCCATGAGATGGAAAACATCTTTAAGTACTCTTGAGGGTAAAATGTTTTGAGCATCAGAGTTGTTTAAGCTGGTATCCAAAGTTTCTTCAGGGCGATTTGCATGATTAGTTGTATTTTCAAAACAATTTTCACTAGCAATAAAAAGCTGGTAATGATTTAAATCAATTACAACTTCAAAAGGTGTGTCACCAAAATCACTCAGGGATTTGTTGTTGGTGTTGTCGAAAGAGTCAATCATCGTGGTACCAGGAATAGCAATTTTTGTTATCTTAATTACCGCTTTGTTCTTCATACTATGCATTGTGTCAGTAGGCACCGTAGTGTAACCAAAAGCACAAGCTGGTTTGCTTCCTTTGACATGAACAGATACAAAGGTATTTGGGTTAGGATTTTCAAAAATTTGAGTACCAATTGGAGTAACATGTTGTAAAAAATTGAATATTTCCAATGATACATAGGCATCGCATGCGGCATAGTTGATTTGATTTTCTGACAGACTGGTGGAGCACCAATCACTAAGTCTTGGTGAACTGCTATCTTTGGGTAATTTCTTTTTAAGAACGGCGGAACAAATAAAATCCAGCCCAACGTTTGCTTTTGTAATTGCACCTTTGTTCTTACAATAAGTCCCCAATTCTAACTTCCCATGACCCTCGCTCAGCTTGAAGTCTCGCTCCAATTTTTTCATATCTCCACCAACTGCCCGGCCAATTTTAATTATTTTATCAGCAACTAAAAAGATCTTCAATGCCTTTGGAAAATTGTTTTCGTTAAACTTGTTCAATCTTATAAGCCAGACGTTGTTTTCGTGTGCAATTTGAACCAGAGCCACATTACCAATTGAAAATGGAGATCGGTTGAAGTACCATTCACAATCAAATCCAACGCATAATGGGCCACGATCTTCAGATATCTTAATCAGATTATTGAGTACTGAATTAATAGCTGTCAAATTATCTAAAACACAGACTTTGACATGTAAAGGAAGGGTATACATCGGAAGAGCCAGATCAGTTTGCACCATTTGATCAGTTTCATTTAAAATTTCTGCGTTGTCTTGATGCTGGTTTTCATTAGAAGTGCTTGCATCAACAATTTCTTTTCCCTTGCCCTTTCGATCAATTTTTTTTTTTTTTTGAATAGTGTGAAACATTTTGTTTCAATGTTGGGATCACAGACTCGAGAAATTTTTGATCTGCAGTAACATTATCAGTGAAGACAAACTTTGGGGAATTGCAACCATAGATATTGTAGCTTTCAATCAATTTATCGTAGACAGGTTGAAGATGACTATGAGCTTTAGTCGGAACTAAAGCTTGGGCCCGAATTTTTTCATATTCGTTACACACTGTATAGAGAGCACCAAAAACAGAAACACCATTGATTTTTCCCATATGATCCAAAATCTTGAAAGAGTGATCGGCTTTAAGAACTTCTCCACCCAATGACGATGTCATTTGGTCCATGAAAGGCCGAAGATCATTTATGATCGAGCAATATACAAAACTAAGATAACTTGCGGAGGGAATTGATCCGGCGTAATGTTCCTTGTCACCAAATGAAGAAAACTCGGTACTCTCTGTAGCTTTTGTATTACATAATCCCATCAACGTGTTGTTTTGTGTGTGCTTTAACGAGTCAAGATAACGAAGCTCGATTTCGTCGTGTCTAAGAGTATGGAATTCTCTTAAAAGGCGACTGACCTTGCTTGGACCAAGAGAATTTTGTGCACCAGCCCTCAGCAGCTTACCCAAATCTTTAGATATTCCTGATCTGTGGGTCAAATGAGCTGGGAAATCCAGCTGAAATCTGATAGGCAGCTGCTCAATTATTCGTTTGTCAGATCCAATACATGTACCATGCTCCTTGTTTGGACACTCATAACGATATGTCATCAAGTAAAAATTTCTAAAAAAAAATAGTTAGATACACCAGATTTAATATAAATATATATACCGGGGGAACAAATAACTTACTCATGCACATCCACAATTTTTCGCGCCTTGGGGTCATCCAAAAAACTTTTCTTGTTCAAGGGGTTTGTGCAACCTGGAGTTACGCACTTCAATTTATCATCTCTAGTATTTAACAATGCATGAGGCAGCCAAATAAATACTTTAGGCAAATAAAGGGCTTCCGGGGAGGGCCTTTTTGACAAGGCAAAGTTTGACATCATAGGATTGATCCAGTATGTACCATTCTTGTACGGATTACGCACATCACATTCTAATTGGATTTTTTGAAGATACTTATCCAATGGGCCACCCTTGGTGATTTTGCCTGCGTCTTCATCAATATTCAAAAACTCTTCTTCAGTTATTTCATACTCCTCTTCCACAATTGCACTGTAAAATATACAGTTAATCTAAAGTCCCAATTATTCATATAGGCCTAATCTATAAACTCTTACTCGTCGGTGCTTTCTTCATCCACAAGGTAATGTATTCCTTCGACCTCGGACGTAGCGCTTTGCTAGAATTAGAAAAAATGTTTTAGCTTGATTCGACTGAAATAATGTTGGGAGTTTAAATCAACTTGTACACTGTTTGGTATTATGGAATTTCCGGAAGATGTGGATACTTCAGGTTCATCCAACGACCCTTCATGGACAAGAGATCCATCTAGGGTACTTTGATCATCAATTACTTCACATTTTTTTGATAAAAAATTCAGATTTGATGTATTACTCTTGGGAAGAGTAGACTTTCCAGGACCTTTTTTTGTCGGTTTCATTTAATATGTAATTGAAGAGAGAAGAGTGTTATGTACAGCATTTAAATCAACATTTATAGTGATTGATCCTCGTGGCAATATCCACTGCGGGTACGAAAGTTACAGAAAATACAGACATTTAATTGGCTCTGAATCTCAACTTACAGAAATTTAAGAGAGAAGATTGGCTTGAGATTGAAATTTACAGAATTTATTAAAATTTGGTTGGGTGAAAAAACTACAGCCATAAGGAGAGAGCCGTCACGCTTTTTGCTATTATTCAGTCGGTCCTTAAAATCTCGTGTAAATTGATCGTGTATCAAGAATTCACACCACAGAAGACGACACTCAGACAAAAAATAAATCATTAAGACTGCTTTTGCCTGCAAATTTTTTGTAATCTAAATGATTGTTTAGGCCCCGAGTGTCATAAGTGTCATAAGTGTCGTAAGGCTCTCCAGTTCTGTGATTAAAATGATTTTAATAGACCTGAGGGCATACCATGCGTTAAATAAGCATTTAATCGTTTTTCTAAAATTTATCATTAACCACTATAACTTGAGTTTAATTTTGAAGATGTGACAACTACAATAAGTCCAATACCTACACTATAGTGGTATTTTTGGCACACTAACCACCACCCACTTTTTTTAAAGAACGACCATTGATCTTTACTTGCACCTCCCAGCCGGGAAGAAGCCACCCCCTCTCACCTTTACTTAATTTTAAAAACAACAACAATGGGAAAATCAAGAAGAAGTACACACAAACGTTTGGAAGAAATGAAACGACTTGCGCTTTTAGATCCCGAACTTATACTCGATGAAGATGCTATCTTTATGTTGCAACCTGCTCGTCGCAAATACACTCGTCGCCCTAAATACGATCTCCCACCTGACGATCGTCATACGACAACAGATATATCTGAAGTTATTGAAATCAAGCAGGGA